TTCACTGGCCCATGTTGGTATTATCATTGCGCTCTTCCCAGCTGAGGCAGTCGCTCGCCGGCCATTGGATGACCGCTCACGGCAGCTCACGGCAGCTCACACCCGCTGCCGGCCAGCTCCATTGCAGCCTACGCCATCGTCGGTGACTCATGGCAGTGCAGCTCCAGGTCGAGCTATTGTTCACCATCTTAGCTGTAGAGGGAGCAGTGTCACTGGCCCTCAAGTGGGATCGGAACCAGGGCCCAGCTGCTCAGAGCTGGCGTCCCAAGCCAACTCCTAACCAACGTGCCACTTGGCCGGCCCCACTATTGCCTATTCTTATATATTGTTTCCTATGTGCTGATCCTCCTGATGCCAGTCTGAAGCTGGGAAGAAGCAGCCCTGACACATCATACCTGGCCATAGGGTTGTAGGCCTGAGCCAGGGCCCAGCATGAGCGCAGGGAGGGCGACGAGGAGTCCTTTAACAGCTCCAGGCTTAGCCGCCTCAGCCATTCCAGCCAGTCATCTTTGGAGACCCTTCTGGCAGCTCCCCAGGCCTGTAATCCCAAAGGTGACAACGAAAAACCATCAACTTCAAGGGCCAATTGTCTATTTAATAATTATCCTACTTCTTTAATTTATAAAATTATACCTCTCGTGATAAAATTCCCCCAGAGTACAAATACAAGAGTAATATTTAATTAAGTCATAAAGCAAAAATAGCAACTTCTTGAATATACCACAGTACAGAAAAAGTCTGTCTTACAACCCATTTGTGCTGGATTCTATTAGCAAAGCAGAGAGTTCTACTACAGACCCAGAATGGATGGGTACTGTCACATGCGGACTGTGTTCACCTAATGGCCTCCAGCAGTGTGTGAAGGGCCCTGGGCACTCTGCATTAGGACACTGGCTCAGCTGACAGCAGAGTCACACAGGGAGAGGGAAGCTGCTCAGGTACACGTCACCATGAATCATGTTACAATCAGGTGAGCGGTGAGCCCAAGGCAGATGGCACTATGGTGGAACAAGAGAAAAGGAGTAGAACAGATTTAATTTTTACTTTCTAATATACCCTCTAATTGTCCTCAAGGCTCCAAGCCTTCCAGGCATAAAGTTACTCCGGGGCAGCTTTGTTGGATGGAAAGACTCAGGCTCTGGAAATGGACAGTATAGTGCAGTGGCCAATAGCCACACTCTGGGGCTCAGGGGCTTGAGTGCAAATCCCAGTTATGTAACTTATTGGCTGTCTGACCTTGGAAAAGTTACTTAACTCCTCTGTGCCTCAGTCTCCTGCTCTGTAAATTAAGGATAATAGTTCCCACCTCACAGGGTGTTTTAAAGTTTAACTAAGTATATACGCTTATGTGTAAAGGATTTATAACAGTACTTGGCACAAAGTTAGCGCCGTGTGTGTGTGAGTGCCTGGTACTCTGAAGTTAGAAACGCCTGGTTGGAATCCTGGCTCTGCCACTTAGCAATTACGCACTCTGAGCCAGTTACTTGTCTGTTGCCTCTGGGCCTTAGTCTTCCTTATCTGGGGATAATGTAGCTGGAACAGATGAACAAAAAAATGGTTTCAACTATTATCAAAATGACATCTCTTTGAATTGGCCTGGACCTAACTACTAAATCCCAAACTTTTGAAATAAATTCTTAAAAGAGTTTTTCCAGCAGAACAGACATGTGGATCCTCCATAAACCAGGGAAACCATGTAAGTTGGAGAAGAAATTCTCAAGTGAAGTGGTCCAGGGAGTGAGAGACCCCATGTGCTACAGCACCTAACCATCAACGACTCAAGCCATCACCTTCCTGGGATAAACTGAAGACCTGCTGCTGCTTTTGATGAGGTACCAATGGGGGACACTGCACAAACTATTATTTTATGTCAGAAGCCGAAGTAGAGATATGACAAGAGACAAACTAAAAAATTAAGTGAAGAATTCTCAATGACCATAGGATGAGAACCACTGAACTAGAAAGAAGTAACACTAGATACCAGAGACTTCCTTTCAGACCCTGTCCTGCTGAATGAAACAAGAACATCAAGTCCTTTTCTAGCTACAGGTTTCTGGTTTCCTCCCTCTGGATAGCTGCACTGTAGTACGTGGCATTTTAAAAGGTGGACATATGAGGATGCAAGAAAGTACTACTGTCTTTTGCCCTCTAATAAGGCAAGGGTGAGCCTGGGTAAAGGAGAGGCAATTCAGCACAGTGGCTAAGAGACTGGGATCGGGAGTCACACTATCGAGGTCAAATCCTGGCTCTACCTTTTATACCAGCTGACATTGGCAAATTACTTAACTGTTCAGTACCTCAATGTCCACATCTGTAAAATGGGGACAGTAATGACAGCACCTAACTTGTAGTGTTGTGAAAATTAAAGGAATCAATATAGGTAAAGTGCTCACAAGAGTGCCTGACACATGGAAAGCACACAACAAATGGTAGCTGTTATTGCTATCATTGTTGTTGTTACCATTTGATAAAAGAGGTCTTTTAAAAAAATCTTAGCTTAATGGACAAGTACACAATCTATCAATCAGGCTAAGCCCTCCACACGGACCTTTCCCTGCTGCTCTTTAATTTAAAACATAATCAACTCTTAATTCTCTGGGTTCTATAGTAACTGTTTAAACACTAGTCGGTTTCCTTTTTCCCTCCCCGCACCGGGCACTGACTGATGCAGGTTGGTGGGATGCCAGCTTCTTTATTTAGAAGGTAAGCCCAATAGGAGCTGCTGAAAACCCTGGAAGGCATTCTAGAGATACATATAAATGGTTTTTATGTTTTCTATACTATGTAAATCCTCTGTTAGCACAGCCAATAAAAGGTGACTGAGGTGGCAGATAGTTATTTTGAAAGCTGGTTAAAACTAGTAAATACACCAATCCCTAATTATCACCAAAGAGGTAGAAGCACAATTTACTTTTCGATGAAATGGAGCTGAGTGGCAGCTGTGGGGGACTTTGCTTAGGGTTTCTGAACTTGATCTGTTCTCTCAGGTGAGATAAACTAGATTCTTTTTTCTGTTTGGCAAAGGTTATGCTTATTTTTCCAAGTGCTGGGTAGAAAGCAAAACTTCCTGGAAGCAAACTAGACTCCTGGAGAATATCCTAAAATAGACACCAAAGCTCTAAAGCAGGGTGGACAGCTTCCTGGTTGGAAGGACATTCTGAACCTAGGCAGGCTGAAAACATCTGGGTGGAAAAAAAGCACATCTGGCCTCCTTGCCCGGCCCCTCCCTCAATGTGAGGTGTCAGCAGAGTGGCCTCAAAACTGCCTGGGAATGCCAAGTGACTGATGACCTTTGTCTTCCTCCTGAAGTCTCAGACTAGTGATCACAAAACCCACAGACAGAAAGAAGCATCACTCCTGACCCAGGGATCTCTTACCATACCATCCTCAACCATCAATCCTCTCTCAGCTGTGGTCACTTTGGAGCTGCCTGGGCGGGTAAAGGCTGACACTACAGTCAGTAAATAAGGCCCAAATGTGGCTAAGCTGTGTGTGAACACATGCGCACAGGTCTGTGTTCAAACCTTTATGGACTTGGCCAAAGAAGAGAATGAGTCAGCTGGGACCCAGTCCTGCCGAGTTCTTTACCTCTATCTGCTGTTACATGTGACGTGCAGCTGCTTTGTGTCAGCTGCTAATAAAGGAAGAGGAACACCATGTTGAAATCCAAACTGGGAGCTGCTTACACTCACCAGAAGCACTAAAGACTAAGGCAAAATGGGGAAAATAAGCAACCTGCTATGTTTACTTAAAAGTCAGGGATGTACCTATGATTGATTATTCTGCTCAGACCCATTACAGAAATTTTGAAACTGCCTGTTTTTAAGTGGACGGCTGCTGGCATACATGGTGAGAAGCTGGTTATATCCCAGGCTTTGGTCAGCATAGAGAATTCAGTACTTATCTGCAGAGATTTTATTAGGTTGTCGGAAAAGTCATGACACATTTTTGCAAAGAAAAACATAGAAAAAATACGTCATGACTCTTCCAACAACCCAATAAAACCTTGCTACTATCAAGTATGGTCCCTGAACCAGCACCATCGGCATCACCTGGGAGCTTGTTAGAAATGCAGAATATCAGGCCTGACCTTGAGCCGCTTGAATCAGAGTATGTATTTTAACAAGCTCCCCAGCAGCTGGCGAGCCCCATGAGTCTGAGAAGTCTGAGCAGCACTGCTTTAAAGGGCCTGCATCAGTCTCAGTGCTAACCTGGGGCTCACTGGTTGCTTTCTATTCACTTAAAAAGAGGATGTCATTTGCTACAAAGTGTCCTACCATCAAAGCTCCAAGGGAGTACAAAAGGACACTTTGTTTTTTATTTTCCTCTAATAAAAAAATTTATAATTCAGACACCCTGAGAAAGACAAAATGACCTAAGTTCATGATATCTAGATTTCAGAAAAATGCCTGGGCTGGTTTTTGGTGTTTTTAAACCGAAGGTAGCAAGAGCTGAACGTTTTGAACAAGAGCAGCGCAGGGCTCTCCTTTCTAAGTCCCCCTGGAAACGATGGACCTGCCTTTTGGAGGTTGATGGTGCTGACGTGCAGTTTCTTCATGGGTCCTGTTTCCACTGGCCCACTAGCCAATGCATCCCCCTGGCCACTCCTCAGCATTCGATGCTGGTAAATCAAAGGGTCCTCCTCTTCATCGGCAAGGGTGTAGCCCTGCAACCAGAGATATAGACGGAACCTGCCATTCCACAAGGTGCTCCCAGTTCAGAAAACATCCTTAATTCAGCCTTGGGAGGTTCACACCTTCTGAAATAGCCAGGATGCAGGTATGGCTCCACGTATGGACAAAATGAACCACAGGGTGGGCTGTATTTCCCACTGCAGGCAAGTCTTTGTGGGTCACAGACAATAGTACTATGAGCATGCGACTGGCAAACAGGAAGCAGCTGTGAGCAATGATAATCGTGATGAGGAGCTGCCTGTGTTTGTGTGGTTTTCAGATTGAAAACCACAGAATGGTTTGCACATTTTTTAATGGTTGAAAAAAATCAAGGGGATGAATATTTTGCAACACATAAAAATTACTGGAGAATCGCATTACTGGAATGCAGCCAGGATCATTTTTTTTCGCGTGCATGTGGCTGCTTTCAGGCTGTAGTGGCAGAGACCACACAGCCTGCAAAGCTGAAAAAATTTACTGTCTGTATAGAAAGTCTGCCAATCCCAAGTTCAGAACTAAAAAGCCAGATATACTCCCATAGCTAAGATTACAAGAATACCAATAGGAAAGATGGAGGGGGGTGCTTTAAAACAAAAGGAAGTGCACTTCACCTTGACAATCCTGCAGATGAGGACATCATAGCGCTGATGGTTGATTCGGTGTCGCACCAGAACTTTATTCACCATTGGAATGAAAATTTGGTACTATGACAGGAGAGGAAGGTCAGAAACCATTACTTTGGAGAGTGGCAAACAGAGAAAAGAGTATTATCACCACAACATTATAGCTACTCCTTCTGGGTTTGGGGCCAGCTCTGTGGTATTCAGAAGAATCAGTTTTTACCCCCTCCTGCTATAAATCTAGTCATCATCTTCCCTCCGGGTTACTGTCAACAGCCTCTGCTTCCACTCTGGGCTCAGTATATTCTTCCACGTGGCACTGAGAGTAATCATTTTTAAATGTTAGGTCAGATCATATCTTCCTGTGCTCAGAATCATCCAAAGGCTTCTAGTCCTGCTCAGAGTAAAAGTAAAGTATTTATAATGGCCTATAACAGTGACGGGCACGTGGTCTGTGAGTCACCTGGCTTATGAAACCAGGGATTGCTAGGCTCCACAGCCAGGGTTCCTGGATCAGTGGGTCTGAGGTCAGGGCCGTGAACCTGTATTTCTAACAAGTTCCTAGCTGAGTAGATTAGGACACTGCTCATCTGGAATCGCATTTTGAGACTCACGGGCCTGTAATACCTCATTCCCACGCCCCACCCCAGCCCTGACCTATCGCTATGACCTTTTCCAAGCACTTACCCCTTGTTCCCTCCTCTGTAGTCACACTGCTCTCCTGCTGTTCCTTGAATGCTGCCAGTTCACATCTTTCCATTTGCTAATTCCTTCTGCCTGCATCCAACCCTCTGGGCTCAAGCCTTTACTTTGCTTAGGTCTCTGCTCAAATGTCAACTTATCGGAGGTGCTCCCTGTCTACCCTGAATAAACAGCATCTCTCCCACTCCCACCCATCACCCTGAGGACACAAATTGTGTTTATTAGCTTTGCTTCGTCGGAATGTAAATTCTGTGAGAACAAGGACATCATTCTGTTGACTACGCTAGCCCCAGAACAGTGCTTTACCCACATAGGTGGCTCAATAAATATTTGCTGAATAAATGAAGAGAAAAAAAGCACAAATAGTTCCTCGTTCTCTGACAGAGGTTTGAGACCTACAGATTAACCACCGGAGAGGTTCAGAGGGTCTTCTTCCCACAGGCAGGCTGGGAGCATGTCTGTTCAGGACTCCCGCCTTACCTTCTTCCCAAGCTGAAAGACGAGTGAAGACAGCGTGTCCATGGCTGTGGGGCGCAGTTCTGGGCTCTGGTCCAGCGTCCGAACAATTGGGTGAATGATCCGGGAGGCATAGTCGGTGAAATCCAGGGACTCCGTCAGGCGGTCCACTGTCTCTAAGGCTGCCCTACAACAACAATTGCTAACATACAGTAATTGCTAACAACAGTCCCACAGTAAGAGAAGTGGCTGAGGGTCACCTTAACAACCATCACTGAAGGGGAAGGAATGGCTTCTGAGGTATTTTGGGTGACATGGATCCAATAAACATTCCAGTGGGATGGGGACAGTTACGATTCCCATAAACCTGGGACATTTCTGGACTAAAATATTGAGAGTTGAAATAAAGACAACGGCCTGGGAGCTTCAGAAAATGACATTTTCAACAAAACATTAAAAGCTTGATGGTTGTTAGTCCCAAAGTGCAGGTGCTTACTTTCGAGATGGCAGTGGAACTTCAGGGGCATCAAACAACTTCACGATAGGGGGCAACAACAAATGTAGATAGTCATCCAGGTTGGCGCCAAACAGCTGGATTGCAGCCAGCAACTGCAAAAGGGAGCAAAGACACAGAGATGAACAAATACAGTCAGGTATCAAGTATCTAAGCGCACAGGGTGGGGGCAGTGGTATGGATAGTTCAAACTTTTGTTGGGACCCTGAAAAGCCTTTAATAAGTGGCTGTGAACTATATTCTTTTGGTAGTATTTTCCCCCCTCATTTTATTTCGCTTATACTGGGATGCCAAAAAAATGTATACAAGGGGACACTTTGGTTAACGTTGCTCAAGCAGTAGTTTGCCCTAATCAGAAGTGTCTGGACGCTGATGGAGCCACTTGGAGCACCTCTTGTAATTGCAGAAGTCAAAAGTGACTTGTATTCATCTTTTGTTATTGGTACATATTGAGTATTATAATTTTAATAGCTTTTTCTATTCTTAAAATGTGTATACTTTTTTTTGGCACCCTCTGTATATTACTTTGCTTTCTCTGAGTTTATTTCAATTGATAAAGAATCTGTCGCGGATAACAAAGAAAATTGGTCTGGGGTAAAACATTTACCAAGAATAATCCATTAAGAGACAAAACATAAGGATAATCAAGGACTGTGAACATTTTGCAGACAGTAAGCTGCGTGTGGTGGGAATTAGTATTCTTTGGGTTCAGCTTTGTGGATCAGCACCACCCTGTCACTCAGAACCGGGTCTTGCTGCTTAGCTGACCATCCAGGAACTCTGATGGATGCTGGACATCTCTCTAGAGGATGCCCTGGGTAACTCACCTTGATGGAGACGATGCGGCCTGGGCTGTTATCATGCATGAAGACGCGCAACATGTGTGGAATCAGCTGAGGCAGGTAGAGCTTAAATTCACCCCCAAGAGCTACCACAATTTGCTCAATGAGAAGAATGATCGTGCTCTGGATTGAGGTGTTCATGACCCAGAACTCCTATAAAGAGGGAAGAGACAAGAAGGAGCAAAGCCAGATGCCCTTCTGCTAAAATACGAACTAAGGAACTAAGATGGCCAAAAAGAAGGAAAACTGAAGTGAGCATGGTCTGCCCCAAGATGAGCTCCCTTCCCACCCTCCTCTCCCTGGGCCTCCTTGGATCCTGTCACAGTCATATGCACAAACTAAACTGCATTTCTCCGAAGGCACGAGGCTGCTGTGTTCCTCTGTGCTTTGCTCATGCTGCTCTTTGCCTGGAATCCCACCTTTTGCTCACCTAAGCCCTATCTGTCTTTCTAGATCTGGCTCAAGCCTCACTTCTCCTATGAAGGCTTTCCTGTTCTCCTTCCTGTTACCTACTTTGGGTCCTTTGCCCTCCTCTTTCCTAGCACCTGTAATACTTAATTTTCTTTGCCACCCTCCCACTACTAGACTGTAAGCTAGTTAAGGGCAAGAAACCCCTTTGATCCGTCTCTGCCTCCCCAGAATCTGGCAGAGCACCTGGCCTATTGCAGCCATCCAAACACACGTTTATAGAATGGACAAGTAAGTCTACGTCACTCTAGGAGCTAAGTCGTCCAGGGAAGGTTCTTTACTTTGGGGAGCGCCTGGTCTCCACCAGAGGGTGATTCAGTGTTAACAAGATTTCCTGCCCTTTCTGGATTTAGACTCTGCTAGATAGCGTCTGACATCTTTCCCGTACCATTTTTGGACCTGGGCAGTGCCACAATAGGAGCACTTTCCTATACCCATATAATTATAGTCCACATAAGTTACTAAAATAAAAACTTGCTCAATTGGCCACAGATCCTGCCTCAGGGGCAAGGCAAATTGGTCCAAGTCTCTGACTCCAGGAAAAGCTGTCACTTAAGTCAGCTAAAAAAGACAGTTGCCTACAGCCTTCTTTAAAACCTCCAGAGCAGGAGGCAATGATAAAAGAAACTATAATGAGGCAACACATGCCTATTAATACTCTTGGGCCCCCAAATAATTCAAAGTAGAAGTCAATGAAAAAAAAGGATAACTTTTCAGGAGAAAGCATAATAGTTTAGAAAGTAAAAACCATACTACACGATGCTGGTAAAATGTTCTTTCTCTGCTTCAACAGAGAAGTATTTTCTCTAAAAAAGCTATTTTCTCTAGATAAAAAGCTTTGCCAAAGAGACACCAAAGACTTTATGGCCTCCACGGTGTTCATTCACTTGGACCACACTCTGCCTTCTTTAGAGAAAGCCCACCTACTTCCCCACTGTATTACTTTCGGCTCCTCACAGGGGTTTTTCTGCCTCAAAGAAGCCAGGCAGCCTGCCCAGAGATGTCGGCTGGATCACTGTTCACAAAGACTGTTCTCTTCCTGGGCTCGGGGGAGCTCATTAAAACACCCAGGATCAACAGCCAAAAGAAGAGCCCAACTGCACCTTCGCAATCTTGAAGAAATGAAAAGCTGTATTTTGCAGGTGTGGGGCTCTCTGCCTCAAATCCCTACGTTTAGGTCATAAGTCTTTTTTGGGGGATAAGTCAAATTACTTCAGCTTCAAACCAAGAGTCCACTGCTTCCTCCCTCCCCTTCCGCCCAGTACCGTCCCTCAGGCTCCTTAGCATTCTGCCTAACTTCCTTGTACAGAGTCCTCTGTGGCAGGAGGCAGGGAACAGAGCAGCTTTCATTATTTATACATGTAGGAGTTTTTCAGTTCTGAGACCCAGTTTCAGGGAAGTTCCATTTTTGAAGCCAGCCACTTTGATTTCAGTCCTGCTGCTTCCTCGAATCTAACTACAAAGGTCTGGTGTGGAAGAACAGAAATCACTGGAAGAATTGCCTTCTCATTCTTTGAGGACATGGCTCTCCCTTCAAAGCCACCTTCCCAACAGAGACATTTAAATTATATAGAACAGTGGGGAGCAGGCCTCCCCATCACACAGAAAGTTGATATTGCCATCAGTGGGGAGTTCTCTGCACCTGCTTAACGCATGTTATAAAATCTGGGGTGTGAGTCACTTTCCATATGCCACTGCCATCAGAAGGTGGCATTTATGCTTCTGAAGGTAGAGGCTAAGCATTACCTTCTTCCTCGGTGCTGACAGAAGCCCATCGTACTTAACAGTCCCAGGAAAACCCCAGCCCCAGTGCTCTCTAAGGCCATGGTTTTATGAGCAGAAAGAGGGCTTTCGAGAGAATAGGAAAGCACTGCTATGATATTAAATTGCTCTGTTGTGTGTGAAGCAAAGAACGCAAGAGTCTATTTCTGGCAGAACAATAACCTCGGACTTCACACCTTGTTTCTTGTACCGGGTAGCCTGCAGCCACAGCCTTCCTCCCCCTCTCTCAATCCAGTGGGACACCTTGCTCCACGTTTTTATACTCGCAGCGTAAGAGCTCTACCACGACCCATGAAAAAAAGTCCATGTTATCCAAACCTGCTTTTGAATGTTCCTTGACCCTAACACTGACAAACAGGCCAAAGCGTTCATTTCTACTCACTCTCATAAGGGTGACGATTTCATCCATATAAGGTCTGATGTGGCTCTTCACAAATGACACCAACATTCCCAGCTGTTGGAACAGAAACTGGAAGAGAGAAGAGTTGGCACCATGAAGGATGCAGGATTCCCAGGTTCATCCTAAGTCCATGTGCAAGAATAAAGACAACTATGGAACCGATTTCCCCACCACCCCATCTACTGAGAATAAGTTTCTAAGAATCAGACTTAAAACCTTTGGTGGTGATGGTGGTGGGGGCTAAAAACAACTGTCAATGGCTTTACACATCAGGCAAGCCACTTATGCACAGCAGGGGCTTTGGGGGCAAGACTGGCTGTTTTCAGTCATTCTGTCACCTGTTAGCTTTGTGACTTTCATTTCACCTCTCTGCGCCCAGCTCATTCAGTGGGAAAATGGAGATAATCCTATTTGTCTCATAAGCATGTTGTAAGAGTTAAACAGGATAATACCTGGAAAGCACTAGAACAGGGGGACACGAATACTGCAAGTGCTCAATAAACGCCAGCTATCGTTGAAGGATTCTGGGGTCATAAAAGACTTAAAAATAGACATAAAACTTTAATCAACTGCAAATGTACTTTTTGTTTATTCAGCCCTAATTCACTACCACTTACTTTCTAAAATAAATACAGCTAACGATTATGGGCACTACAGTTCATTTATAGTAATTAACTCAATTAATTAGGTCTGAATTAATTAGTTAACTATCAGAAATTATGAACCAAAACAGCAAGCAAACTGGGAAGGAATGGGATAAGGAGATTCTATTTAGGTTGGTACCTTGCAACTATGAGAAGACATTCCATCCATTAAATACAACGGGGAATAAGAAGGGCTTGGGGAAGGGAGACCCCAACTGCTTTCCAAGTTAAAGGTCTTCAGGGTGTAGCTTTTATTTTGTTATGATATTTAGACAGTGCTACATGTCAATGTTAAGTAGCAAATCATATTCTAAATCCCCCTCCTAAAACGATTTGCATAGTTCTCTACGCCTTTGCTGCCCTCCATTAATAAGGATAATTTAGTGATGAACATACATATTTTCACTCTTCTTCACATTTTGAAACTCAGCTAAGTTAGGGATAAATAAAAAGTGCTGCAAATAGTAGTGAACTTATAGAACTCACTACCTGAAGAAGTGAGATTGACAGGACATACAGATTTGGGCTCAAAGAGAGTTTGGACTAATTCTCTAATGACAGGGACACCAATGGATTCTAAGGTGGTTAGAACCTGGTCACCGCATGGCACAGGTTCGACTCAGTACAGCTATCACTACCTGTCCCCTGGGCCCCTCCTCACAGAATCACTGCTGACAGTTTTGGTGAAATGGTCCCTATAAAAGTACATTACAGAGATCCAGAAACACGAGGCTCCCAATATAATGGTTCTTTAGTTACATTTTTGTTATGCAAAACCTGAAAGGAGGCAGAAAATCTAAGCTGGAGAAAAGGCAGGACACTGGGGATGGCAGGGAGGTCAGGAAAAACCATGAGACAGAAAGGACAAAAGCTCCTGATCCCGGCTGTCATGTAGGATTAGGTGTAAATGGGGAAGCCTCTCCAGTGGCCGATTCGTAAGGAGTGGCAACATGTGCATTCAGACAGGCAAGTGCCTCACTCACAGGCAAGGAGCCGAGTGGCCACCTCATTTCCTCTCCCTTAGAGTCTTTCACAAGTTTTTTTTCTTTTTCCCCCATCAACATTTGTGTTTTAACAGAATACATAGTTTTGTTCTTGAAATATGGTGGATTAGAGCTCCTCCCAAACGCCCCTGGTATGAAAAGCCTAAAAATGATGCATCAAAGATAACGAACACGGTTATTAGATTACCAGAACTGGTATCTTTCACATTGAGCCAGACCTTCAAAGGGCTGTATGTTAAGATGGCAGAATAAACAGACTACCTGTGCCGACTACCTCCCAGGATCACACCAAAGGGCTACATGTTACGAGAAACGGTGAATCCCTGCTTCCTCCCGCCCCCAATCTGTCCACTGGCACGAGACAAAGGCATGTGTCAGTGTCGACGGAAGGTCTAGGTAGAAAACCATGTTTCCCTTAAGAGTTGGTAATTTCAGGGGCTGGCCGAGTGGCGCGTTGGTTAAGAGCTCGCTTGGGACGCCAGAGGGCCCCGGTTCGGATCCCACATATGAGGGCCAGCGACACTGCCCTCTACAGCTAAGATGCTGAACAACAGCTCAACCTGGAGCTGGGCTGCCGTGAGTTGCCCGGCGATGGCGTAGGCTGCAGCCTCTGTGGCAGTGGGTTGCCATGGGCTACCGTATGTAGCCAGCAGCCAGCGTGAGCAGCCAGTGTGAGCGGCCGTCCAGAAGCCGGCGACTGATCTGCCTCGCCCGGGAAGAGCGCAATGATGGTGCCAACTTGGGCCAGTGAAGCAACGTCCTCCACAACTAGACTGAAGAACAAAAGGACAACAACTTGTCTGTTCCCCTTCCCCCAATTCCCCAATAAAAAATCTTAAAAAAAAAAAAGAGTTGGTAATTTCAGGCCACACTCATATGGATTTATAAAGGGGGTTGTTTTAACTCTCTGTGTGGCCTGAGAAACTATAAACCAAGAAATTAAAGTTCTCCTGGATCACCTGGCAGAAGCAAATGCAAATCCTCTCTGGAAATGCAACTTCAGAGCAGGTTTTCTAGTACTGTTCCAGGGAAAGCCCAGCTGAATAGGATGCATGATCCCAAATTATAAAACACACTGGACGGACCACTGCAAGTGTGACTCGGTGGGAACAATAACAGAATTAGACATATCATGGATTAGTTTATATATTGGAATTATTGGGAAGAAAACAAACCTGCTTGAAGAAATAAGCGAGAATTTAAAAAAATGAGTAAGGAACAACATACCACCCAAAGACATTAGGCATATTTGAAAGAACCTAGTATAACTTTAGAAATAAAAAAAAAATTAAAAAGTAGTTGAAACTAAAATTTCAATGACAGGTGAAAAAGACATAGCTGAAGAATTAGTAAACACAAGATGGATGTGAAGAAACATCCAGAATGCATCGCTGCGAGACAAAGGGAAAAATGGAATGGAATCTTAATCTAATCAAGCCTCTAAATCTAACCAGTTTATAAGAAATTAAAATACACCTTGAATATTCAATTAGCCAAAGCCAGAATGTAAAATTCTATAGGACGAATGTCCTGGTTTCTTCCACACATAAATGGTATGGAAAAAAAAAAGGTGAAAAATGAATAGATGTAAAGAGAATTGGATACATAAACCAAATGCCATGTGTAGACCTTATCTGAATTTTGATTTGAATAAACTAAATATAAAAAGGCATTTTTAAGACAAACAAGGACATCTGAAGAAGGGTTGGTCTTAGGTGATATGAAGGAATTACTGTTAATTTTATAGGTGTTGTAATTGTGGTTACAGGGGGAAAAAAAGCATTTATTGGTAAAATAATATATTTGAAATTTGCTTTAAAATACCCCAGAAAAAAGGTGTGTGAGTATGTATGCACACGTGCATGCGTGTGTGAGTGAGTGTATGTGTGTGTACATGAAGGTGGGGGCAGGGGAATAAGATGGAACCAAATTGAAAAAATGCTAATAATTGTTGATGATTATGAGAATTTAAGTTGTCTACTTTTATGGATGAAATAGTCCATTACAAAATGTTTAATAAAATTAAAGGCAGCCAACAAGTAGTGGGCAGAAGAGAAGAAAATAAAAGCTCAATCAAGCCAAAAAAAGAAAAGAAAAAAATATTTAGGGCAGTACAAAAATAAAGCACTAAGTAAGGTGGTGGATGCAAACCCAAACATATCAGTAATCACAATAAATGTAATTAGACTGAATGCACTGATTAAAAGATGGATTTTCAAATTGGATTAAAAAGATAATCTAGCTCTATTACCATATATATTATTATTATTACAAGAGACCCAGCTAAAGCAAAAAGTCATAAGACAGTTAAAAGTAAAAGGAGAAGAAAAGATAAACATCCTCCAAAAAAAGGCTGATGTAGCTACATTACTAGTAGGCAAAATAAATTTCAAGGCATTGTTAAAGATAAAAAGGGTCACTACAAAATGATAAAAGATTCCATTTATCAGGAAGATATGATGATTTAAAATTTGTATGCACCTAATAATATAATCCAAAATATATAAAATAAAATTGACAAAAATACAAGAAATTAATAAATCCATCATCATCAAGGGAGATTTTTATCTCACTTCTTTCAGTAATTGATTAAGCAAACAAAAAATTAACAAGGATACAAAAAATTTGAACACAGTAAGTAATAAGTTCAAATCTAATGACATATGTAGAACCTTCTTCATAACACTGCAAATACACACTATTCCCAAGCACAGAGGAAGCATTTATCGAAATCGATGAAGCATTATTAGACTATTAAGGCAGTTTCAGCAAGCATCCAAGAATCATAAACCCAATGCAATTAAGTTAGAAATAGACAATCAAGAAGGAAATTAAAATCCTTAAGTTTGCAAATGAAAATATCCACTTCTTTCAATAGGGAAAAACAAATAATAAAACCTTAGAAAATACTTATTTCTGAACAATAATGAAAATATCACATTATCATTCAGCAATAAAAAATGAACTACTGATATATATTACAGCATGGATCAACCTCAAAAGTATTATGTTAAGTGAAAGAAGCTAGACACAAAGGCACATATGATTCCAATTCTATGAAATGCCCAGAAAAGGCAAATTTATAGAGACAGAAAGTGGTTAAATGGTTGCCTCGGGCTGGTGTCGGAATGGAAAATTACTGCATCCCGTGGGCAGTGAGAAGACATTCCAT